CCTGACCAGATTTAGGCCATTCTACCTTTCTATACTGAATGACTACTATATAGACTCACCGTGCACCATACTCTAAGGGTGGCTGTCAACATCTTTCTTTCTATACTAATCAAGTTAAATTTGACTGCCAACAAACCCAACTACTACTGTTGACCAGTGACAAGCCAACCATGGCCCAACCTCCTGTTCACTTCTGAAAATATTCCTCGGGCAAAGCTGAAGAGTAGCCAGCCATGCCAAACAACCACAGCCGACCTTGTACACCCATATATAATATTGTATGTAGTATGTACAATGTACTCCCAACCTTTTTGGGAGCCCATATTCAGCTATGTCTCAGGTTTTGTTAAGTATGTGCCATAATTCAAAGGAAGAGCCCACACCCATCAAATATTAATGTTAAAACATACAAATGAAAAAATCTGACAAGCAAAATGGTGGACTTCCAGATGCGGACAGTGCAACCACTCCCATTGGCCAACCTACTTTGTAGGTTTGTCTATTGTTAAAGTAAACTGGAAGGGTTTTTTTCAAGGCTGCTCGTGGATTGGTTGTCGCATGGGGGCGCTTCTGCTCCATAGGCGCCAATAACTACAGTAAATCTAACATGCACGGGTGCATTTCATACGCCTAAGAAATGTCCTACGGTGCTGACATTATACGGGCCTTACATGTACTCGAAATTTTGTAGGAGAAACACGGTTTTAGGCAAAGAGGCAATGCATTCAGGCAAAGATTGAATATCTACAGTGTAGGTCGGAAGACGAAGACCGTACCAAGTGCAATTGCCAACAAGGAAACTTCTTTCCATGCATTCTGGCTGTGCGCCTTTCGACTCGTACACCCGCAATCCACAGAAACAGGTTTTAAAAAATTACACATCTCCCTTCGGTTGCCCTCAATAATTACTGAAGTCGCCTTGTCACTCATCAAATTTTGAACTGGTTCATAATCATAGCAAGACGATCTTTTTTTTCTGTGATGCTTTTCCAAAGAACTTTGCGGGAGAGGGTTGGCTAATCTCCAAGCAGATGTTTGGGGAGGCTAAATCGTTACGCTTGCGTAGCAGCCCTTTTCTTTCTGTGTCGAGTGGTCTGACACAGAAAATGGCCGCTAGGAAAACGAAACGATCTAGCCTCCCCAAACATCTGCTTGGAGATTATGGGTTGGCTACCGCTGAGGATTCTGGCTCCCTCAACACTGTGGAAAGGAAGCACTGATGACAAGGTCCATATCGCCGCAAAATAACGCGCTACATCTGCTTGGAGCTGAGGTGTGACCGCCCACTTGGACATACTTTGTGTGTTTATACGACAGTTATGTTACGAACAGGAAATCGGAATCTAAATCACACAATGTTGCCCCACAGCCGCTTTGTAACCCTGCAACGGGACACCGTCACGCTATATCGTTGTGACGACACCTTTGTTAAGGGATTAAGAATGTGTGTAAGAGCAGCGGCCGGGGCATCGGCTTGTAAGGATACACCGTTTGTTTTCCGCCGGTAACAAGATCTACAGGACGGGTCATCCCAGCTGCATGGGGGGATCCGTTTTAGCAGTGGGGAGCCAGTGGACGTTAAAGGGGACACGAAGTTCTGTAAATTTTAGTCACAACGTCCAACATTTTCTGGTGGACAAATTTGACTATGTCGCGTCAGGCAATTCATGAACACATATACACAATGTCTACACAAAACGGTGGAACTTAGGAGGGGACCTGCATGGGGGATCTGGACAACGCTTTATTCAGGAGGGCTGTGTCTGACTGGCCCGGGGAACGGGTCCACCATTGGGCTTTCATTTCCCCGTCACGTCGGCAAATGAACTCTACAGAGGCTAAACTGGCCCATCCCTATTTTGCTCAATTTTACTGTTTTTGAACCCTCGTTGTTAGTCTGGTGGAGACTAGAAAGTTAGCCACTTTCCGTCTTTGTCTGTACATCCGTCAGATCGATGCCTCCATCTCAGCCCGCCGTTCTTTCGATCCCCCTCCATGGCCTGCATTAAGGACGCTGATGCACTCGGACATTGTTCGAATCATCGAGCAATTACAGGGCCCGGAGAGAAGATCGCGCGTTCCACGCTTAACTAGCTGTGTTCGTTTTCATCAGCACAACATTAAGTCCTCCGCAATCGATGGCGCAAGAGATGTAAGAAGAATCGCGCCTTTGTGCAGTCTGAAAGCCTGTTCGTTTGTTATACAGGAACTGGCTAAAAGTGGCCTGTTTTCTCCTGCGCTGCCTCCCTGTATGGAGAGGGGGGGACACAGCAAAGGGATGTTTAATTGCTAAATGTAGGTATCGTCTCGTTGATGCCTACCTTAAGCTTATTCATCGAACGTCGTCGTACGAGTTTCACGTCTCACAAATTCGAGCATGCCGTGAAAGAACTAGCCGCCGACATGGATCTGGAACAGCCTTTTCAGCAACAAGTTGAATTTTGCATGCAGGACACGTGCACGACTATCTCAAGAACGCCTTTGCTTTGGTTTGTGATCGTACGACGTTCAACTGGCTGCTGATGTCTAGTTTATATAGATCTACACAATTTTACTGTTGATTTATATAAAAGATAGATAAGAATTACAATTGTGACGATGAGTTTCATTGTTTTGTTTGTTTCTGCCGTCCTGTTTTCATATGGGGTCATTTGCTAAAATCTCCGACCACTCGTTTGTGCCCACTTCTTTGAACTTTATTCAAGTCTGAAGATCCCAAAAACATTTAAACGCAAAAATAAACATTTAAACGCAAGACCTTAAATGATTCCTACGGAATAAGGTGTTAATGTTCGTTTCTCCATTATCTGGGCATTTTGCCGACCATTACCAAACCCTCCACCCCGCTTGAGCCGACTTGAGTGAACTTTACTCAAGGTTACCTGGCCTGTAATGTCCGTCCGCAAATCGCACCTTGCGGGCCAGTTTACACGGATGACAGCGAAGTGCAGCAGTACGGCTATCTTGTTATACTAAATGTCTCGGCTTGCGTCTATCTGTCCGACATATTCCACCTTTTCAAAGGGAGGCCAAGGCAAAGTTTTCTCCAGGGCCTCATTGAGGAGTAGACGATGTTGAGATAAGGGAAGTGGACAGTGGCGCGGAGGTTGCGGTTTAGATTGCAGACGACGCCGACTCATCGGTGGAGCTGGTGGGTACGCCATTACTCCTCACCGCTTATCTTCACAACATCAAAATATTTATAACTTTCATGACACATGTTTAAATCGCGCAACTTCGTAAATTGGAAAGTTTCTTCTGATGAGTTTCAAACTTATATGGTTCTAAAACGGTGGTGGTGGTTCAGGTAAAGATGCTTGTACATTTGGACAGGTGTTGGCAACTGAATACTAGTATCTGGCTCGACTTCCACAACAGGCGTCGTGGACCGGTAAAAGGAGTCTTTCAAAGTTAGTCAGAACTGTCGAACCCTTATGAGACGTAGATTTTGGGCGCTTTCAATCGAAAATCTACCTCTACAAGGCTCATTTGGAGCCGGTAGCCATCATTTCAGTGCCCTTGGTTTATTGACTTGCGCTGTACTATGCAGTCAATTCGCTGTCTGTTAATTAAAATGATGAGAATGTTTCTTTTTTTCCAAAAATAAAACTCTGCAAATCTAGGCCGCACAGATGCAGGTAATACAGGTGGTTACCTTAAGCATTGGACATGTGGATCGTCAACCAAAATTGTTGCTCGACAAGACTGTTAATCCAAATATGCCTTCTTGTACTGACCTGGGTCTCTATTATCACACCTTCAAGATTATCAATCAGGATTCGGCCTAAAAAAAGACCAATTCCTCATACATACACAGGAAGGAGCCGTCTGCCATTATGCCCCGAGGAAGGGCGGTGAAGAGTTACCCAAACTTCGGCCTACTTTATAGGCTAAGGCTGTAAAAAAGAACTTTTATTTTTCGATTAAGGTGTAAATCTAAATTGCTCAATGGCCGAATGGCTAGGTGAGTGCACGATATCAAGAGATCATGAGTTCGATTCCTTATTTTTTTAAACGTCGTGTCCTTGAGAAAGGTACATCACGCGACTTTTCTCACTCAACCCACGTGTACAATGGGTACCTGACTTTTTGGGAGGTACAAGGCGGTGGAAGGAGAGGGATGGGCTCTGCTTCCCATACCGTGGGTAAATACAATTTATCTTGGACTACCTTTACTCTTTTTTTTACCCACGTTTACTGACGGGGGACACTTCGTGCGCTTGTCCACTTGTCTTGATCAAGTCCAGCCGTTCCCACCTTTAATTGCCGGTTTGTGACCGGTCCGATGCCCGGGGTCATTAAGCAATCACCGTGTCGAGATCTCAAGTCGCTTTTATCTCACTCAAAGATGTCGCCAGGATTTTGAAACATCTCTTGAAGGCACCCAAAGCGATTTCAGGGCAGTAAAACTGGATTTTCAAAGTCAATTTTTTGATAAGTTGAATCAACGCTATCCCATGACATACTGATAGATAAATGCAATGTCGCTGACGAAATGCGTGGTTGCTTGTTTCGTATTATTGGCCGGTTCTAGCTATTTGTTGGTGGTACCAAAAATAGAGGGATCCCTCACGTAGCATTTTGATTGTAGAAGACAAAAAAATACCGAAAACTTACAAAACTACTGGACGCAAAAATAAAGAACTTTACTGGTCGCAGGAACTTTACGTGCCTGCCTACAGTGGGAAAGTCTTGGTGTAGTGTTCTTCGGCTGATTTTTGCAGTGTTTTGATAAGGATACTCTGTGCAGTACTGACCAAACCACAGTGTTCACGGTCCGAACAAACCGACTGTCCACCTCTATTCAGCTGAGCCGATCCATCCTCTCCCGAGGTAACTCTAGTCTAGAGAGAAAAGTTTGTCTTCCCGGCTTCCATCTCAGATTTCGCTAAATATTACTTCCCCAGCCTTAACAGCTCCCTTGCATCTGCGCCTTGCGCGCCTCGGTTATTGAAGTAGGCGCCCCAAATCGACCGAT